GTTAGAATTTGAGTTATCAACGAATTTATACCTATTTTGTCATTTTTAGACCTCTTAATCAAGGCCAATCTCTCCCAACTAAATTAGGTTCGGTAGTTAAGTATGATTGGAAGGTTCTGACAAATTTTCAGCATGATTCATGTTCAGGAACTGAAGATATGACAGAATAATACGACAAAAATCAACGAATTTCGTCAAATTACGCGACTTTTACGCCTAATTTTGCTCCAAAAGCCGCGCACCATCAAATATGGCACCTAGGAGAAACTCACTGATCATTCCAAAAAGGTATAATTAATTTGGTACTGTGAAAATTCTCAAAGTCTCTAGAAAACGATGGTACAAAAATTTTGAAAATCCGAGCAAGTTTAGTTTTATCGTGCACCGCCTAAACACTAAAATAAGCAAAAAATCAGCTGTTCACAAAAAACCAGCTACAAGCTAGCTGCCCACTGCTTGCTAATGCTCGACTTATTTTAGTCCGCGGTCTCATGGTGATCTGGCCACATGCACAAGTATATACATGATTTCCATATTATCCCGCTAACTTTACATTATGTCTGAGGCACTTGTTGAGAATTTAAGCGGTGTCCGTGTCGCTCACGTTATCATTACCGTGGATGCTGGCTAGGAACCGTTTAGAGAGCGGGGTACTTCATTAGCTCCGATCTTAGCATTTCCTGAGGTCCTCCTGGCGGGAATTGGGGACCCGTTAATGACAAACGCTACTGTTCAAGCACTGGATAATCTTCAGTTCTACCCGTTAATTACATCCTACTTTTACCTGCTCTTCCTGAACAGAAAGCTATTATACGTGAGAGGAGCGAGCAATATACTAGCATTATATTAGAAAGCAAGGTAAATCCTATTGGCTCTCACGAAGGCACGTGACTTATGCACCGGAAGATATGTCCGGCTGAGAGGTCTCCTGTGAGTGTGCATATTGTGCCTGATCGCTCAATCGCTGTTTTACACTGCTTTCCGCCGAGTTACGTTCGAAACAGTCGGAGCCGTTCAGTGCCGGCCTGGTCACCCTCTTCTCAGACTCTGCACTACTAGGATCCTCTAGATTCAGGGACTTAGTCCTAATCAAAGTGACAAGTCGCCGTATTAGTATTACTATTACTATACCGCAACACCCTCAAGGTGAGATTTACTGATGCTGCCCTGATATTCAGCGTATCGTTAAAAATCGAATTTTTCGAAGGACTTCATTTTTTCCTCTTTTATATTCGATGCTACAGTTTTGTCGGACATTGACCATATTTTTACACAAGTAGTTCACCTCTACCTACTACAGCATTTTCCGGATCGAGTTAAGCTCTCAGCGTTATTTACTGGTTTGAGATCTACTGTGATGGGTGAGTACTCATCTTCAATTGTAGTGTTTGTAGTGTGATTGATATGATTGATTTTTGTGCTTTTGTTCGTTGATCTGACTCTACCTTGTTTTATAGTCAAAAAGCATAATAACTGATCACCAATAAATATAATTGGCAATTGTTAATAACCTACAGGAATTCAGCAAAAATTAGGACTTAGATTATATTCTCCGTAAAACTGTAAGTTAATGTTCCCTCGTATCAGATGTAGAGACGAGAAGGAGGATGACAAGTCTCCTAAATGCAGAAAATCTTCAGGGATCGGAAGAGGAAAGAAGTCCTGATTCTAATTCTACTAACTCGTTATCTGGTCGTGAAGAATTGAATTCTTGAGGGGGGAAGATTGTGGCCCTACAGCCTTACTTACTATAATTATCTTAAAACTATGAGAGAGAGCTGATTGTTGAGGACTTTCCCCCTTATATGAGCATGTCGAAGTCGTGCTGCTCCAACAACTGCAACACTCCCATCGTGAAGGAACTGCCCCCAATGGATATATGGATCCCGATGAGGCTGGTGCATGGGACTAGAGATGGATGCTTAGCTTGGCATACTGCATTGACCACTATATGAGTGCAGTACGTCAGTACAGCAGGTTCAAGGGTCATGAGAGCATGGTATGTTGGTTCTGTTCTTTTTTCTGATGATCGTGATTTCATTTTTGGATCATTTAGTATGTCAATGACATGTACATTCAGGCAGTTTTGTAATTTTATTTATTTTTAGGGGTTCGAGCGTGGTCCTGACGGTTTTAGGGTGAAGTTGTGCAAGCCCTACGACGCCGTGGACGGCATAGTCGGCCAAATTCAGTTTCAACAATGTTTACGGCCGACTATATCGGGAAGCGGCCATATGTTCCATGCACAGCGCTTGTATGGAGAAATTATACGGCGTGTTATGTTGTGCTTTGCCGGGGTCACCACTGGATTTGCAACTAGAGCCGAGTTTTGCGGACAAAAGGATGCTGCACTGTATGAAGTCGAACAACAACGTCAATTCAACAAAGATGTTCTCTACTTAATCAAAGATTACCAAGAAAGCATTGTCGGCCGAATTCAATGTTTACGGCCGACTATATCACAACGTCCCCCTAAATGACTTCAATGTCGACGATTTTAACGTCCTCATAATGGCTACAATGCCCACCAGAGACTCAAAAGATGGACACCTTTCTCGATTGGACATCGAATCACAAAAAATGTTTAATCCTTATCTACCTAACTGTTCGAAACCTGATACCGAAGAGACACGCTCTCAACTTTATCTTTATGCAACATACATCAAACAGGGTACACGCTGTGCTACAAGCTTTAAAAAACAATACTGACTATGTTAAACTATCTGAAGCATTACAAAGCTCAGAATCCAAAATATCAAGAAACTGTGGATATTATTTCAGTTCTTCCAAAAACAAATACCGAACTCTGGTGCATCCAGAAACGGTACCGCTACTTTTGCAACTTTTGAATGACGCGCTTTGTGTTAAAATATTTATTAAAATTACGGAAACGGTCGAATGTCAAATTTTAAATTATTCATGGAAGTCTTGTTCAATATAGCGCTGTTTTTACACTTTAACGACATCCTCCAATTAAGGATCCAATTAGATCGGCGAGCCGTAAATTACGACATCTGCTGGACCCGTATTTCCTCAACAAATGGGTGCAAATAAACGACTCCAACATCGCAACTCACTATTCAGAATTCGATGTTACCCGAAAATCGTACAGTGCCCCATCCATTCCACGCCTCATAAAACTAAAAAATGAACGGACCCTTGCAGCAGAAACCAACTCTCCACAGATAATAATTGATAATTGATGTTATAATCCTAACATCAAAATTCATTTTCCAGCAATTATCTCAGAAGTACCTTGTCAAAAAGCCATTAATGTGCGTCATATCAGCCTACCTCGAACATCATAATAAAAGATTTTTCAAAAGACTGTTACAAAACAGCATAATATGCAAAAAAGCTTCAAAAAGGAAAAAATTTCATTTGCTCAAAGAACTAACAATCATCCTGGAAATTTATATTGAACTATCTTGCCTATATAAATATAATACTAATAGTTACGAACATTTGCCCAGTGAACTTATGACATACATTGATTTAAAATGTATTTTCAATAGGAACAAAGCACTAAAATGGTTTAACCAAGATTAACCACAAATTTGAATCACCAACCAACGCTTTGTATTAAACCTTCAAGGTGTCGTTCAGAATTGAAACAAATACGTAAAATATTGGAAAATATATATTCAATTGATTTATGTGTGAATTTATAAATGGTCACATACAATTGTAACGAGAAACAAATTTTGTTAAAATTAATTACAATGCGCAAAGAATTTTCAATTATCGATGTTTCTAGTTACTATTCATATTTATTTTTGTGGAAAAGATAAAAATCCAAAAAAGAATTATTATTTTCAAAATTAATTTTTCGTGTGATTTAACTATTCGTCTATTTAATGGACAAATAAAAAGGGTTATCGACTTCATTCAAGATATCTACAGTGTAAGAGCTTTACTAGTACCCGAAATACCGCTTCTAAAGCACCACCCCAATGCCCAAGCCTGATATCAGCTGCATGTTTATATTGTGCAACCACAAACGTATAAATTGTTTAGGAATTTTTACAACAAATCAGCTCAATGTATTTACTATTGATTATTGCATATTAGGATGATATAGGGTAAATAATTTAAAAATAAATCTTATAGAATATGACCTAAAAAGACAGCTCATTCACTGTTTAATCTTTTCAAAACTAGACTATGTCCCATTACACTGTCCCATTGTTTGGTAGAAAAGCTATCAAAAAATGGGACAGTGTCACTCCATGCCATTCCTGAGTTAGAGCCCTCGCGCTTGCAGTATTCATAAATTCATGGCTATGCGTTAACATAATCGTGTACGTTATCCTTTTACAATAAAAAAGACTTTTAGTAATTTATAAATCGCAGAAAGTTAATGTGATTCTTGCCGGATAATGATTGAATTAGTTATTTTACGTTTGTTGTCGAGTGAATACTTTAAACAGTTAAATGGATGATGATTAATCACTCTACACTCGACTGTCACGTGACTTTTTAATCACCTCCTTATAGATGGCGATATCTCGCTAGGGGAGCATTTTAACTTTATGTCATGACTTATATGTGGGGTGATTCGGAATCAGCGTTTGATAATACATCGAATGAAGTAGATTTCAACTGTCGATCATGGGCCCTTTCAGAAAAATGTCGAAGATCGACTGTAGAGTGATTTAGCACGCTCGAATTTAAATCGTTTTTTAGCATTGTATTACATTATTATTAGGGGCCATGTGCTTAAAGCGTTCAGTATCAAGTATATAATATGATATCAGTATCAAGTATATATACTTGATACTGATATCATATATACTTGATACTGAACGCCTTATATATATGATATATATATATGATATAATTATAAGGAGGGAGGTTTTGTAGTACTAGTAGATAAACCCTTATTATTATTACTTTGATAAACGCTCCAAACTCTTACTCCCAATGATCAGAAATTTGCCCATAGTTGAAAATTCGTCTGAGAAGCAATTAAATCGAATGCCATCTGGAGTGATTAGAAATCAGCGTTCAAATATAAGTCTTAGATTTTTCACTCCAGGGAAAGGTTTAATTTCAGGATCAAAAGATTCATTGTCAGTTTTTTGCACTGTCTCGAAAGGTTCAGTTTCTTGTACTTCCTCGAAAGATTCAATTTTACTTTCTTGCACTCCCTCGAAAGGTTCATTTTCATTTTCTTGCATTCCCTCGAAAGATTCAGTTTCTTGCACTTCCTCGAAAGGTTCAGTTTCTTGCACTCCCTCGAAAGATTCAATTTTACTTTCTTGCACTCCCTCGAAAGGTTCAGTTTCTTGCACTCCCTCGAAAGATTCAGTTTCTTGCATTTTCTCGAAAGATTCAGTGTCAGTTTCTTGCACTCCCTCGAAATGTTCAGTTTCTTGCACTCCCTTGAAAGATTTAGTTTCTTGAACTCCCTCGAAAGGTTCAGTTTCTTGCACTCCCTCGAAAGGTTCAGTTTCTTGCGTTCCCTCGAAAGGTTCAGTTTCTTGCACTCCCTCGAAAGGTTCACTTTCTTGCACTCCCTCGAAAGATTCAGTTTCTTGCATTTTCTCGAAAGATTCAGTTTCAGTTTCTTGCACTCCCTCGAAATGTTCAGTTTCTTGCACTCCCTCGAAAGATTGAGTTTCTTGCATTTTCTCGAAAGATTCAGTTTCATTTTCTTGCACTTCCTCGAAAGGTTCAGTTTCTTGCACTCCCTCGAAAGATTCAATTTTACTTTCTTGCACTCCCTCGAAAGGTTCAGTTTCTTGCACTCCCTCGAAAGATTCAGTTTCTTGCATTTTCTCGAAAGATTCAGTGTCAGTTTCTTGCACTCCCTCGAAATGTTCAGTTTCTTGCACTCCCTTGAAAGATTTAGTTTCTTGAACTCCCTCGAAAGGTTCAGTTTCTTGCACTCCCTCGAAAGGTTCAGTTTCTTGCGTTCCCTCGAAAGGTTCAGTTTCTTGCACTCCCTCGAAAGGTTCACTTTCTTGCACTCCCTCGAAAGATTCAGTTTCTTGCATTTTCTCGAAAGATTCAGTTTCAGTTTCTTGCACTCCCTCGAAATGTTCAGTTTCTTGCACTCCCTCGAAAGATTGAGTTTCTTGCATTTTCTCGAAAGATTCAGTTTCATTTTCTTGCACTCCCTCAAAATGTTCATTTTCTTGCACTCCCTCAAAATCTTCAATTGTTGCGGTGGTAATGTCCATACTAACATGTCTCCTGAATGCTTTTTGCAGCACAATCGTCGCACTACACCTCGATCGTACCCTGGTTGTTTTGACGGTCACTATAGAAAGCATTGGGAAGGCTGTTGTAAAGTTTTCAGACATGAGCGATTTAATCATATCAAACTCGTCTGCATTGCTATTAGGACCGAGAGTTCGTGAGATAAGAGCCTGAAGAACGTCAATACAATGGGTCCTATCATAAGGATAAAGTGGAATATCCAACTGCAACACTTCCTCCTCTGTAACACCGGGTATCCCTAGAGGTTGTGATAGCTGTCTCACTAGGTCTGGCAACACTCTCACGTTTAGAAATCCTGTCGCTTTCGGATCAAAGACCTTCCATTTCTCGTAGAAAAGATTGATGTCGTCTACGTCTACTCCGACCTCGTCATCTTGTTGAGCAATGCTAAAGTTATCTAGGATGACAGCAATATACATGTTTACCATGATCAAGAAAGCGATGAGAATGAAGGAAGAAATGTAGACAATAGCAAAACCCTTGGACCCGCAGTCTCCGGGAGAGTCTGCAGTAGAAGCACTGCAGTCCGGCGGGGAGACCATGAGGGCATCTAGCACATCATTCCAGCCAGCTGATGTGGCCAACCTTATCATTAGGATTATTGCAGCAGGTGTTCGTTCAAAGTTCATCTGTCAAATGAAGGAAACAGTAACAAAAAATGTTAGGAAACAGTTAGACTGTAAATTAAGACGAAAGAAATGGATAATTTAAATTCCCGTCTTGGGTACCTACTATACTTAATGTCAATATCGAGCAGCTGTTAGAAGCCGAGAGGTAAAGGGACAGCACACAAATACTTCGTTCCCTACTTCGCGAATATTTACTAGTGTTTATAACAAAAATTACCATTAACTTTGAAAAGGTTCGAAACGTGAAAAAACGACTTAAAAAACAAACCTGGTCATTCAAAACGCCCTGCCTCTTAACTTGACCAAACATCGCCACTCCCATCACCGCGTAGATATAAACAATGAGCAGCAGCAAAGTTCCTATGTTTATTAGAGCAGGCAGAGAGCACACTAGGGTGTAGAGGAGTCGTCTGATCCCCTTTGCTACTTGGATAACTCTCAGTATTCTGGCTACCTGGAAAAGTCTTAAACTCCGGAGAATCGAGGGGTCGATCACAAAGTTCTTCACAACACTGTCCAGAGCGATCCCCAGCCAAGCACACATCACAATTACGAAATCAAAGATGTTCCAGGATTTGTAGAAGTAGAATTTGTGGGTACCAATAATTTTAAGGGAAGCCTCAACAGTGTAGATGGCAGTGAAGATGTAGTTAGCATACATCATAGCTTTTTTAAACTCGGGACTAGCTGCATCGTGCTCCATACCCATCTGTATCATGTTCAACAATATCACAATCGTTATCACCACCTCAAACTTTTGGTTTTCAGACAAGTCGTGACAGAACCTCATGAACAAGTTGGTGGGACGGGTGGTCATGCGTATAGGCTTTGTTTTGGTCATTTCCCTGAAGGTTGACATCCATTGCCGTTGTGTGGGTGTGAGAAGTACTCCTAATTGTCCTTTCTCGTCGTACTGAAATAGTTGTGAAACACTTGTGAAACACTTGTGAAACACTTGTGAAACACTTGTGAAACACTTGTGAAACACTTGTGAAACACTTGTGAAACACTTGTGAAACAGTTGTGAAACAGTTGTGAAACAGTTGTGAAACACTTGTGAAACACTTGTGAAACACTTGTGAAACACTTGTGAAACACTTGTGAAACACTTGTGAAACACTTGTGAAACACTTGTGAAACACTTGTGAAACACTTGTGAAACACTTGTGAAACACTTGTGAAACACTTGTAAAACACTTGTGAAACAGTCTCGTTCATTTGTGTGCACTCAGGGGTCAGAAGACTCAAATGTATAACTAACTAATCTACCACATTTTCTACTGACCTCTTTTTTCAGTCTGTTGAAGTTATCGATAACAACTCCAACCAGCAGTTTTAACGTGAAGAAGGAACCAATAAATATGAACACCAAAAAGAAAATGTATGCTTTAAAGTTGTGCTCAAAAGATGGCTGTTTATCTATGCCAACCGAGTCGATGGCATCATCCATAACCTCCATCCAGCCCTCAAATGTAGCCTGGAAATGAAAGGATGGTCGTATATAATATACATATAATTACATTACATAACCTCCATCCAGCCCTCAAATGTAGCCTGGAAATGAAAGGATGGTATTATATAATAAACACATAACCTCCATCCAGCCCTCAAATGTAGCCTGGAAATGAAAGGATGGTCGTTACACGATATTTAAACTTATAATTATATTGAGAATGAAGCTTCCAAGGAAGAATTAAGGGTCTAACCACTTGATACAAAGCGACGAATGCCATTATTGTGTTATCAAAGTTAATTTTTGAGTTCTGCCACGCGTCTTGTCCAAATTGTGCTATACACATAGTCTTGTTCTTGATTTCAGTACTCTTATTATCCAATGGTCCATCATCTCCAACACACTTATAAAACGTGTTTCCAAAGAACTGGACTCCCAATATACTGAAAATGTTCGTTTATTTTGGTTATCAAATAAAAATCCCATAAATCTCAATCAGAAATTTGTTGAAAGTTGCCAAAACTGTGTTCGGACAAGTGACTGCAATTCAAAATAGAGCTATACTAATTATAGCTGAATACACATTTTGCTGGGTTACGTTATCGAACCCAAAACAAACCAGAAAACAAGCCAAAGGACCAAGCAAACCAAAGACACATTTCCGAATGAGGGAATTGAGGAAATCAGGGCGTTTACTGAAAGTCTCATCCCTTTCCAGCGAGATATGGCCCTCAAGGGTCTTAACGCTCTAAAAGACCTTATAACTTTCAAACCACCAATGTTGGCATTACTCGCTACAGTGCTGACTATTGATATCTGCGGAGGTGTAAAGTATGGGAGAATAATATTTATTATTAGAGCGTTTCGGTACAAGTTAAACTGAAGGAGCCAGGATTTGAAATGGCTTTTACCCGATTAAAATATTTCCATCCATTTTGCAATCACAACATTATAATCAACAAAATAAATGTAGTATTGTGTATGTGTGTATATTAGATATGAGGAATGTTATGGTATTAATATGATGTTTTAGTGTACCGGATGAAATGTATTTCACAATTATTATAATCGTCAACAAGTTGGATAACTTACAGTGACAACAAGTGAATCAATCCAGTTCCAGGCGGACTCGAAGTAATTAATCACGCCGAATGTAAAGAGCTTAAGGCACATCTCAACTGTAAAGACTACAACATAAAACAAATTGAGAGTATCAACTATCCGCTTCAGAGAAGGTGAAGTCTCCAACGAGGAGTCTTCAAAAGCGAGGGTAACACTAGAAGCCATAATCAAGATAAGGATGGTCCAATCGAAGACTTTGTGTTGCACAATCCTTCTAGTGGCTTCCCGGAACATGGAGCAACAAACGCAGAGAGGTCTACAGCAGATACTACAGCACTGGCAACAGTCGTCACAGCTGTAGGGGTCGTTACCCTCGTGTTCGTCCACGTCTATCATATTCATGTCTAGTGAAGAGAGCAGTACATGAGAGGGGGGCATAAAATAGGGGAGCGTTAAGACCCTTGAGGGCCATAAATTAAAATAGGTTTGATAATAAAAACTTATATCTTACATTCAGATCCCTCGCTGTACTCAGAAGATGCGCCGTTACCGTGGTTACCACAGTTACCAGGGTTATCACTGTTACCAGGGTTATCACTGTTACCAGGGTTACGACGATGTCTGCACGGAGTCTTCATGCGCTGAAGAGCGCTCAGATCTAATGTCGACATTCTTATCTCTGAAGCTAATTTGTGTTTACTTTTTGTTATGTTAAACAGTTTCTTTTTTAAGAAAGCGGTCAGAGATACCTCTTTTTCAGCAACTTCCGCCGCAGTTTCTTTCTTCTCATTGATTGATTCCGACCCAAATGCGTTGAGCAGAAGCGCCAAGAAGAGATTGAGAAGAAGGAAGTTGCCCAGAACCAAAGCCCCCAAGTAAAACAGAATGGGCCACATCTGGCCCCGAGTAACTTGGAGAGTCTCCCAAAGTAGCTCAATCCATTCGCCACACAGTATACGGAACACTAAGACAAAAGAATGGTAGAAGTCCTGGTAATTCCAGCGCGGCATGTTACCGTAGCTGTCAGGGTGGAGGGCCTCGTTGTTGAAGAAATTTTCATATTCCTTCTTGAATAGGTTCATCCCGATCACGGAAAGAGTGAATATCACAACCCCCAATATTATGGATAAATACATTAAACCTGATATTGACTCAGCTATTATGTCGATCAGCGCCTTCATAGTATTCCACGACTTTGCTAGTCGAAATACCCGCAACTGAAAGAGAGTTTGAGCTTGTTAATATTGCGCTGATACATAAAGTAAAGTAAATATATTAGTAAATAAATGTTGAAACGTTACCCATATTTACCCCACCAGTATCCGTAATTCATATTTATAAGTTATCACGTGAAAGTCTTTTGTTTTAGTTGTTATTAATCAAATATTTACGTAGGCATTCATGTAGTTTCTTCTAATTGAATGATAAAACCAAATGAAAATTGAACAGCACGATAAAGCAACAATTAAGTCGTTAAAATTAACTTAATTTACAACTTATCTTAATCTACAAATTATCTTCATTTTAAACAATACTCCATTTAATCTACAAATTAACTCAATTAAAAAAAACTCAACTTCATTTACAAATTAACTTAATTAATGATAATTGATTTTACTTACAAATTAACTTAATTAATGATAATTAGTTTTACTTAAAAATTAATTTAATATACAACATACCACTCTGAGAGACCGCAAGCCGGAAACATTGAAAGAAGCATTTTCAAGATTTAATTCAACTAGTGACACAACCACGATTATCGTATCGAAAATGTTCCATTTCGTTTTCCAAAACTCTGTCGGAAGTAAACCAACTAGTTTTATTACCAATTCTGTTGTAAAGATCCATGTTAGACACTGAAAATAGATCCCAATTATTTGACACTAAAAACTCAAGTAGAAATACATGCCTAAAATAATATATCAAATAAAATTCTTTTTTGAAAAATATTGAATCCCTGATTTGTATTTTATAAATCAGATGGTAACAATATCAATGATTATATGTAATACATATAACAAAATAAAAGTTATTTAATTTACATCATTAACTTTAGAGAGGACCTCTCCCATCTCCTCACTGATACCATGCGAGTCCAGGGCTAGACAAAGTGTATTCAGAACAATACAGCCCATCACTCCGTTCTCAAACCAGAAACTATAAATAAAACTCCTTATCTGACTGCGGAACCAGGTCCACACGTCACACAATATCTCGTAGTAGGTTTCTTTTGTTGGGTCCTTTACCTTGAAGAGAGCAGTACATGAGGGGGGGGGGCATAGAATAGGGGGGGGGGGGGGGCATAAAATAGGGGGAGGGGGCATAAAATAGGGGGGGGGGGGGGCATAAATTAGAGGGGGGGGGGGTATAAAATATCACGTCGCACATTATCTCGTAGTATGTTTCTTTTGTTGGGTCCTTTATCTTGGGACCCCAGGCTATTATATTTATGTTCATAATCATATAGATGATAATAATCATATAATAAAATAATTCATATTCATATATATAGCCGAATAGAGATTCGGCGGAATGACAGCGCCAGTAAATAGGTCCTTTACCTTGTCCTCTGGATACACACCAAACATCTTGTACCACAGGAACTGTTTAGAACAACAGATCTTGAGAGCAGCCAGGAAGCCCCGTTTGGGGGGTCTCCGTGTGTCACGTGGTGTAAATACTGTGTTCTGATTGGTTGTGTGGGGTCTCCTGGGCAACCCGTGAGTGTAGTCTAGGTAATAGCCTGAGTTACTCAGGTGGGGGGAGTCGTTGTTGAACGAGTGTGTAACCGTGTAACTTTCGCGGGGAGTGAGGGGGGTGAGGGGCCATGACGGGTGGTTTTCGTCTTCTTTGTTGGAATCAACGTCCGACTTAGCTGAACATGCCTGCAGTAATAATTTATTGATTTGAGATCACCAATATAGGACCAGTTTACCATTCTGTAAACAATAATGTTATCAAAATTAACTAAAGGACTATGGTCCACGTGTAAATCATTACCTTTTCTTTTTGTGGAGCCAAGACTTCCTGCTCATAAGAAATAAAGACAACTGCCAGGACCAGGTTAAGGAGGTAGAAGGACCCGAAGAAGACAACAATTAGAAAGTAGAAAATGTAAATCTCCCCACTGGCTCCTAACACCTGGAGAAAATGAAAATAGTATATTTCAAAAAACATTATATTTCACCAAATATTATATTTCAAAAAACATTATATTTCACCAAATGAATAATTTCAAAGACTATATAAAATTTTGATCCGCGTTACAAACCTTGCCGTAAACATACCTGGAAAAAACAGTAAAGGGGGTATAATAGTATAGGGGTGAATAGTATAGTAAGTATTATAATGGCGGCGGTCGTGCTTGCCAGCACTGTGATGAAATGTTGATTAAAAAATACAAACCTTGCCGTAAACATTCTCCCAGAAGTCAAGAGTGATCATAAAATAGGGGGGCATAAAATAAGGGGAGGCATAAAATAGGGGGGGGGGGGGGGGGGGGGGGCCTAAAATCCGTGATACAAACCTTGCCGTAAATATCCTCCCAGAAGTCGAGAGTGATCAGTTGAGCACAGGTCAACATAGCCGAGCCGAAGTTATCGAAACTAGTGTAACCGTCGTTAGGGTTGACATCTGTTTGTAAACATACACTAGCGTCCGGACACTGCCGTGTTCCCCTGAAATTAATTTGAGAATGTGAGTACAGAGCTCACCTCACACATAGTTACCAGGTAGTGATACCTAGTGACCAGGTAGTGTTACCTAGTGACCAGGTAGTGTTACCTAGTTACTAGGTAGTGTTACCTAGTGACCAGGTAGTGTTACCTAGCAACCAGGTAGTGTTACCTAGCAACCAGGTAGTGTTACCTAGTGACCAGGTAGTGTTACCTAGTTACCAGGTAGTGTAACCTAGCAACCAGGTAGTGTTACCTAGTGACCAGGTAGTGATACATAGTGACCAGGTAGTGTTACCTAGTTACCAAGTAGTGATACCTAGTGACCAGGTAGTGATACCTAGTGACCAGGTAGTGTTACCTAGTTACCAGATAGTGTTACCTAGTTACCAGGTAGTGATACCTAGTGACCAGGTAGTGTTACCTAGTTACCAGGTAGTGTTACCTAGTGACCAGGTAGTGTTACCTAGTGACCAGGTAGTGTTACCTAGTGACCAGGTAGTGTTACCTAGTTACCAGGTAGTGTTACCTAGTTACCAGGTAGTGTTACCTAGCAACCAGGTAGTGTTACCTAGTGACCAGGTAGTGTTACCTAGTGACCAGGTAGTGTTACCTAGTTACCAGATAGTGTTACCTAGTGACCAAGTAGTGTTATACCTAGTTACCAGATAGTGATATACCTAGTTACCAGATAGTGATACCTAGTGACCAGATAGTGATATACCTAGTTACCAGATAGTGTTATCTAGTGACCAGGTAGTGTTACCTAGTGACCAGGTAGTGTTACCTAGTGACCAGATAGTGTTACCTAGCAACCAGGTAGTGTTACCTAGCAGCCAGGTAGTGTTACCTAGTGACCAGGTGGTGTTACCTAGTGACCAGGTAGTGTTACCTAGTGACCAGGTAGTTTTACGTAGTGACAAGGTAGTGTTACCTAGTGACCAGGTAGTGTTACCTAGTGACCAGGTAGTGTTACCTAGTGACCAGGTAGAGAGGTTGTTTCCTCTTTTTTTCTGTAAAAAATATTTGATTTTGCATTGGAAACTTTGATTAGTGGTCAACGTTTATACATTATAGGGTCAAAGTTAGGACAGAGGAGGTTGTACAACAATTGACATGAGAATGGGTAACTGTTTAAGGTTAATCATAGCGACCATTGCATCTGACCACAATATTGCAAAAATGCTAATGTTGTATGTCCACGGTGACAAATTTAGCCGATTTCGGGACGTCGTGAGGACCGGAAGTCATTGGACTCCTGTTGTATTCCGGCGGACTCCGAGCGGAGTCCGCCGAGCTGGCGGACTCCGGCGGATTTCAAGTCCTGGCGGAGAGGTCCGCGGAGTCCGCCAAGCACTCCGCCGGTAGACCGCAGCGGTAACCGTGGGATGTCCGCCTATTGTCTTACTCTGCTGCGGACACTCAGCGCGAGCCCGCCGCGGAGCCGCTCATGGAGTCCGCGGCGGAACTTTAATTCCGCTCGGAGTCTCCCCCCGCTCCGGAGTCCGCCTCGGCTCCGCTCGAGTCCTCCAAAATGTACTCGAGTGGCAGTGTAAATACATTAGCGGAGCACCAACCGGAGTCCGATCGAGAGTCCGTGCGGCTCCGCCGCGAGACTCTACTCCGCGACGGATAGTGCCAATAAAAACGACTTCTTATGTCTTTAGAAAGTTCGAGATAAAACTGTATGGTGTTCAAAACAGGAAAGAGGAACAACGTTTTTATCTACAAACCATTTGATTAGATAATTAAATAATTATTTTAATCAATTATTAAACAAATATCCAAAAATTATAAAATTATTTTTCGATCAAAAAATTTAAAATTTACGTAACAATGAATAATAAACAACTTTCACTAAATTAATCGAATCGAAGCATTACATATATATGAAGACCATATTATAACGAGATAAGAGATCTTACTTATCAAGACCGCAGCTGGCCACATTGGTGCCATTTTGTCCTGACATTTAAGGCAGGTTAACCACAATTATTCCTGCTTTTCTGCTGAACATAAGCAATGCCACAAAGACCTGGACCTTTAAACAGTTTCAACGTGATTTTTAAATGATCTTTTTTCGGAGCTGTATTCATAAGAGTGGTCACTGTACATGGCGCCCCATTATTCTTCTTTCATCCTCAGCTTATCGGTATCAGGTTATTATAATCTTACGCGCCTGCACTGATGGTAAACAAGATAGAATTTTTTTCAAGCTGTTCCCAGATGTTTGGCGTAAGCTGTTTCCACTGGATGTCTGCTGTTTGAGATTGCGACGTCTGTTTCAAGAACTTAAAGTCAGCTTCATCTAGTCATCTCGATTGTGATGAAATGCAACCTCAGCATCAAAAGTTCTCCGACATGCTTTATGGTTGTCTGGTGGAGTGAATTTGCCGATAAAAAGCATCTATTACACATTCATCGATAGATGCTATCGTTCTGAATAGTCCTATCCTTTACCCAATTCCGTGGATCCAACTGGTGGTGTCTGATCCCAGTGGAAGCGTGGCACAGCAGTTATCGTGTATAACGTGTGCCTCCAATGTTTAGGGGTGAAGTCTTAAATCGGGTAGTTCATAAAATAAACTTGTTAGACCCTATGTGTCAAAAAACTAGGAGCTGAATTCTATTCAAGGAATCAACCAAACCATTAATTAACAGTCATAAACTCCTTACTTTTCATAATCTTTACAAACTCGACAATAACTGAACTTTTTCAAATAGTTAAATATAGGGTACCCATATCTCTCTACTCTTACTAACATTGTGCTGAACTGAGGGATAACCGTCTAATACCACCAAAGCCAAGCCATAACTTTATTTATAAATCTCTTGCTTTGGAATCAATTCAAGGACACACTCCACAGAATAAACCTGACTTTGTGAACACATCGCTGTAACTCAATCAAATCAAGGCAAACGATCTTCTCTAGATGCCCAAAAGCAGGTTCGATAATGAGTGGCATAATGAAAACTTTAACAGTTTGGACCATGCTAGATATGATAAACGTGGAATTTATGTAAACAAAAAACTTAATTACTTAAATATGCCGTTTCCGTACGGCGCTATAACGTAATATATTGTTAAAAGCGAGCCGCAGCTACTCCCTACCTCAACATTTGCGCGGAGTGTTCTTATGCGCGCACGTACGTTTTTATTCTTTGCCGTTAATCAG